ACCCACCCCCCACCCCACCCCCGAGCACGAGCGAGAAGCTAGCTTGCGCGCGCAGGGAGGATCGCTGCTGGGGATGGCGAGGCCGGGGTAGGACGGCCCCACTTACCCTGCGGAACCTGGCCGCGGCTGTGGAAATGGGTTCAGGCCTGGGGCGGCCGAGCCCACTCTGGTGGGCCCACAGCAAGCAGGACGCTGGCCGTCCTCAAAACCAGGACGGGCTTTGACCCGGTGCGCCCAGCTTCCTGTGCCGCCTAAGCACCTTCTGGTAAGAAGAAGGGTAGGCAGTGGGACCTAACTGAATACTGGATTCCTTGTGCAAATTTGGAACCCTCCTTGGCTTCCAGGGGCAGATTCCTGACCAATGTTTCAGTTTGGCACTGTATGGGAAGTAATGGTGATAGAGGACTAAGAGTGAGAGTGATAGGAGAGCTTTGGGCACCTGGGCAGCCATTCCAACGTTATGGGAAAACGTTTCAAGAGGATTTCAAGTCCCAAAGCGGCAGCTGGAACTCTGTTAAGGCTGTCTTAATTACTATAGCTCTTGTTCCTTTACTGTGCCTATGAGGGTGAATAATTTACCTTTACTCTTAGTCCTTAACCTGTTTTTTTCCTCTATCCAGGTCTTTACTCAACTCATTGCTTTTGATCCTCCAGTGAGCTTTTAGAGACAGTAACTCACCTGGGAGTTGATTGCCATCTTTCTTCTCCTGAGAAGTAGCTGGTGTATTTTGAACCACTTACCTTTACATTGGTAGTACAATTCCTTACCATTAAGCCACTAGAACACTCTTCTCATAAATTCTTGGGGGGGGGGGGAAAGTAACTCTGTCCACTAATCTTGGTGACTATACTTTTTCATGAGCAAGTAGGATGGCTTTTTAAAATTAATGGTTAATCCGTTTTTGTTTTCCCTTTGTAGGTTGCTGAAAAATGACTTTTTCACTCTTTCTGAGTGTCCTTTGCTTGGGAATAGCTTCAGCTACTCCACAGCATGATCGAAATTTAGATGAGCAGTGGTTTAAGTGGAAGTCAACATACAAGAGACCATATGACACGGTTGGTATCATGCTGCCCAGAGGGACCTCAGAGAATTACTGGTTGGAAAATGGGGACCAGCTAGACCTACCTAGAGGTCAGATCTGACAAAGGCTTAGCTTCATGGTGCCCATTCCTGAGTGCCTTGTGGACAAACACACATCCCTGCTGTGTCAGAGTTGGGAAAGAAGCTCCCGAAGTTATCTTTGGTCATAGTTTCTCTTTACTGATTTGCTTAATAAGAAGGATTGGGTTTTAAGTGGAATTAAAATATCAGATATTTTCTCTAGAATGAAGAAAGTTGGAGGAGAACAATTTGGGAGAAAAATGTGAAGATGATTGAATTGCACAATCAGGAGTTCAGCCAGGGGAAACATAGCTACTCACTGCTCATGAATGCCTTTGGTGACATGGTGGGTGTGGCATTTGCTGATTATATAATTCTTTGCACTTCCTCTCCCCAGTACTTTAACAAAATAATGTTGGATTTTCAACATTTTATTTCTTTTTCTTTGAAGACCAATGAAGAATTCAGGCAGGTGATGACTGGCTTTCAGAACAAGAAACACAAGAAGGAGAAGGTGTTCCAAGAATTTCCCTCAGATAATATCCCCAAATCTGTAGACTGGACTCAGAAAGGCTATGTGACTCCTGTGAAGAATCAGGTATGACAGGATTCTGACTGATCTGTCATGCGGTGTTGCCAGAAAGTAATTGTCCTCTTGTTTGCCCAGTGGAGAGGCCTTTTAAAAAAGTTTCTCTTTTCAGGGTCATTGTGGTTCATGTTGGGCTTTTAGTGCAACTGGTGCCCTTGAAGGACAGATGTTCCGCAAAACTGGCAAACTTGTTCCACTCAGTGAACAGAACCTAGTGGACTGCTCTCGGCCTGAAGGCAACGAAGGCTGCAATGGTGGCCTAATGGATTATGCCTTCATGTATGTTCAAGACAATAAAGGCCTTGATTCTGAGGAATCCTATCCCTATCTTGGAACGGTAAATGGAACTCCTAGCTTAGTTTTCATTCCAGTTGTTTGGAAAGCTGAGCATTTTCAAGGAAAAAGACACTTATTTTAGTATTCACATTTCAAATAGAAGAATCTGTATCCACAACTATCAAAACTATCACTATAAATTAATGATATAAATTAGCCTTTCTGATTAGACAGTTAACATACAGCTAGCTATTCTTCTATGGAACATGGAGAATAAATTTTGAGAGAGAACAAAAGCAATGTTTAGGGGTCAGATAAGGCTTTGGGCAGCACATAATTCTTGAGTCACTAAATCTTTTCTAGAGGGTTTTCAGGAGATACCAGCAGATTTTAGATTTTTCCATTCATTTTACTCCCTGGGCTCTTTTATAACATGGCTGGCTCTCTACGCAGAGGTAAGTGGTAATAATTGTATTTCTCACATTCATCAATTGAAAGGACACAGAAGCCTGCCACTACAAGCCCGAGTTTTCTGCTGCCAACGTCACTGGCTTCGTGGACATCCTTCAGGATGAAAAAGAATTGATGAAGGCACTGGCATTTGTGGGTCCCATCTCTGTTGCTATTGATGCTGGTCTTATGTCCTTCCAATTCTACTCCTCAGGTATGCATCTTTTTTTGTTGTTGTTATAAACATTAGGTAGAATATTTAGAAACCCATCATAACATGTCAGCATCTCTTTGATACACTTTTGAATGTGCATTTAGTCTGTGTGGGTTATTTTTATATCTAGTGTTTCCATTTGGCATAATTTTAAGCATAATGCAATGATAACAAGCAGTTCATAAATATTTTTAATGGCTCTGGTGGCCTGGTGGCAGTAAGCTGCCCTGCAATCCTGAAGGCATGTGGTTTGAGGCTACCTGCTGCTCCATAGGAGAAGGATAGGCAGTCTCCTCCTGTGTAATTAACTGCCTCTGAAAACCTGCAGGAGGATCAACTATGGCTTGGTTCTGACTCTGCGGTACACAAAAACAACATAATTCTTATAGGGACCTCTGGTGGCCTAATGGTAAGAAACCGCATTGCAATTTTGAAGGCATGTGGTTCTAATTGTTCCTTGGGAGAAGGATGACCATGTAACTAACTGCCTCTGAAAACCCATTAGAGGGTCAGCCAAGGATCAGTTCCTCCTCAGTGGTACTTAACAACAACAACATAATTCTGTAAGTGTATCCTCATTTACTTATTCTCCAGTTTGGGATCTTAGAATGTTTCTCCTAAGATTTTTACTGAGGAGAAAACCTGGAGACTCCCTTGGCTCAAGTATTTTTGTGTTCAGAGGGTACCTAGGTGGTGCAAATGGGTTACATTAGTCTGCTAACCTTAAAGATCAGTGCTTTGAACCCACATAGGGCTTTAGGAAGAAAGATCTGGTAATTTTGGTCCATAAAAATTAGTCAGAATTCTGTGGAGTCACAGTTACATCATTAGAGAACTAGAAAGAGAATGGGCTTATTTGCTTTTTGTTTGGTTTCATTAGAATGTCATCCTGAGAGTGACAGGGGTTAGCTCTCATTCCATCACATCTCCTTTTATGAGGTCATAGCATCGCTTACTGTTATGGATCACTTGATGTTACTCACGCAGCATTGATTTCTCTTCCAGGAATTTATTATGATAAATCCTGCAGCAGCAAGCAACTAAACCATGGTGTTTTGTTGGTTGGCTATGGCTATGAAGGAACAGATTCTGATAATAATAAGTTTTGGCTTGTCAAGAACAGGTAAAAACTGCCCTATAGTTTACTAATCATCAAAATTTAGATACAAGTCCACAAACCATTAAGTGCAATTCTAAAATCTAGAACTCTTCCTCTCATTTGGAGTAACCACTAAAATTCCAGTGCTTTATTGTGAGGTTGCACATAGGGTCGCTATGAGTCACAAGCGACTTGACGGCACATAACAACAACAACATTTTTAACAGTACATTTCTGAATTCTGGAAACATTCTAAAAGGCATACCTTAGCTCTAAGTGTTGCAGTTCTGTGAAAGGTCAGCATCTGAGGTGTGTGTGTTGTGTGTCATCAAGTCAGAACTGAGCAATAGCTGATCCTCCAGGGGGTTTTCACAGGCAATAAATTGCACAGTAGGAGATTGTCCATCCTTCTGCTGCCAAGCAGCTGGTGTCTTTGAACCAGCTTTTGGATTTCAATGTGCCTTTGGGATTGCAGTGCACCTTCTTAGCACTGAGAGTTTATGTGGATTTGAAACCAAAACCATAAACACTGTTGACATTGAGTCAACTCAAACTCATGGTGACCCCAAAATGAGTAGAACTGTGCTCCATGGACTTCAGTGGTTTTCCAGAACTCCTTACCAAACAGCCTAGGTGGATTTGTACCTGACTGCTACCACTTAACTGGTTTTGATACCCAGGGATTCTAGTGATCAAGTTTAGGACTCAAACATATATGAACAGTGTACATCTGCTTCCTCATTTTCTTAAATCTGAAATATTATCCAGAAGAGCCTAGAGGCTTCTGAACACTCTTAGATACTAGTTGTCATTGTAAATAAAACTGAAATGTATTTGATTCTTTGAATAACTAGAAAATCTCACTGTTTTGTTTTGTCATGTTTTTAAGCTGGGGCCCAACTTGGGGTGCAAAGGGGTACATAAAGATGGCCAAAGACCGAAACAACCACTGTGGAATTGCCACTGCAGCCAGCTACCCTGTGGTGCCTTAATTGATGAAGGATCCAGGACAACCTTTCTGAATGGATTTTACCTTAAATTGACCATCCTTTATTGTCTGAGATAAAACACTTGAATCATTAAGGATACAAGTTGTGATTTGAATTCTGTGACATTTTTACACTGGTAAAATGTTACCACTCGGTAACTCTATAAACAGTTTTGTAATACTAACTTCTTAATGCTTAAGACTTTTAATGTCATTTTTTAAAAAAATGTATGTAAAGTCTTACCTTTTAAAATAAAACTTATGTTTCATGTGTAGAAGAGGGGCGTCTTTGTTTTTATGTATTAGCCTTTCATGTGGTACAAATGTGATGGGCTATAAAAATAACTGAAAGTGCAAATAGTACGTTAATTTACTTTCACTTCTTAATTGATTCTGCCTGACCAACGCTTGAACGAAACAAATGTTGATATATGATCTACAAGGACCAAGTTAAACCTTCACTTTAGTGAAGAAAGTTGAAAATTGATTAGAAATTTAAAAGTTCATTAAAATTCTAATTGTTAAGTGTTACTGAGCTAACTATGATTTATAGTGATGCGGTGACAATGGATCTGAACACTGCCCTATCTTATGCCATCCTGATATTCTCTTGCATACTTGAATTCACTGTTATAGTCACTGTATCACTCCACATCTTCAGAGTCTTCCTCTCCTGAGCTGACCCTCCACCTTCCCAGCATGATATCCTTCTCCAAGGACTGGCCACTCCTAACAACATGCCCAAAGTGCATGGGATCCAGTTTTACTTTCCTTGCCTCAAGAAGCGCCATGGCTGTAAATTTTTTTTAACTGAGATTTTAATACAAGTTTATAGAGAACTTGGATTTCAATCATTCATTGTTGTACATTTTCCTCCCTGACTCCTTCCCCCACCAGTTCTCTTTTGTCTTTGGAAAAAACCTTTTTCATTGTTACTGACACCCCCACCCCTAGTATACTTTACAGTGCATCTCTTATTCTGGACTCTTGCCATGCCAGTAATACCTAATCATATATTCCTTTTATACAGTTCTCTCAATTGTTTCAATGTCAGGTACATTATTTATTCCCTCTTTGAAGACATGTGTGTCTGTCTTTTCTGTAGTCCATGGAATACTCAGTACTCTTCAACACTAGAATTTAAAGGCATATTTTTCTGCTATCCTTGTTCATTGTCTAATGATGTTGTGATGCTTTTTATTTTTTTGATGTTCAGATATAATCCATGCAGTCTTTGATTCTTTGCAACAAATGTTTCAGGACCTCATTTCAGTGAGATATGTCATCAATAACACAGATTGTTGATGTATCTTCCTGCAAATCTGATGTCACATTCTTCATACAGTTTAGTTTCTCTAATGACCTGCATGCAATTTGAATAGGTATGTAGAAAAAAATACAATCCTGATGCATCCTGGAAGCAGGAGTGGCATGCACTTCCGAAATAGCTTGCCTCTGGAAACTCTATGTATGAACAGTGCTCAGGCTGTTCGTTCATAGGGTCACTATGAGTCGTCTACGACTCGATGGCACCAAACAACAACAATGACCTGCATGCAGTTTGAATAGGTATGTAGAAAAAATACAATCCTGATGCATACCTTAGCTGATTTTAAATCATACTGTATTCAAACAACAGCTTCCTGGTCTAGGTGTAGGTTTCAGATGAGCACGATTAATGTTTTGGGATTCTCATTCTTCCCAATCTAAGCCACAATTTATTAGGATCCACGCAGTCAAAAGCCAATAAAATTGACGTCCTTCTAGTATCTGTTTTTAGTCAAGGTCCATCTGACATCAGAAATGGTAGCCAGCATGCCACAGCTTCTAAACTGAGGTGGAATTTTGGCAGTTAACTCTTGATGTGCTATGCCTGTACTATTCAATGTACTATTCTTAATGAATCAAGATTCTTTAGTTATGGCAATTCTCTGTTGATGTATATTCTAGCTATTTTGTAAAAATCTTAAGATTTTTTACATTAATGATACTTGATATATAATTTCCACATTCTGTTGGATCATCATTTTTGGAATTGGAACAAATATGGATCACTTCCAGTCAGTTGGCCAGATAAATGTCCTCCAAGTTTCTTCACAACCCAACTGGAAATGTCCATATATTTGGCTATTCCAAAGTAAGGTGATTCAACAGAATGTGAATTTTAGAACAATGTCAGTATCATACTAATTCAAGTTAGATATAGTGGAAGATTTGGGAAAAGGGCTATCATTGGTTATTTCCAATGGTTCATAACTAAAGGCAGAAAATATTAAAAAGATGTTTGACTGACCATGAAAAAGAATTCAACAGTATGGACCACAATATATTATAGATGACTTTGGGAAGAATGGGAATTCCAAAACATTTCTTTTATGGTGTAGCATATAGGGAGTTACACAGCTAATCCAAAGGCTCTGATGGTTTGAATCCACCAGGAGCGCCACTGAAGAAAGATGACCAGTCTCCTCATGCTATTTACTGTCTTGGAAGACCTACTGAAAGGTAAACTATGAGTCCATTTCAGTTTGATGGCAATAAGTTGAAGAATTGAGTGCTCATACAGAGTCTATATATAGATCAAGAGGCAATTTAACAGAACCAAGGGGTGTTATATAGTTTAAAATCAGGAAAAGACTACGTCAGGGTCGTATCCTTTCATCATACCTATTCTGTCTATACTGAGAAAATAAGCTGCATTTTATGAAGAACTTGTCATCAGGTTTAGAGGAAGACTTATTAAAAACTTGTGTTATGCAGATAACATTCTTGCTGAAAACAAAGAGGACTGAATATATTTACTGATAAAGGCCAATGATTACAGCCTTCAATGCACTCCAACATAAAACAGCTGGAATAATAAACAGCATGATATTGTTGTTATGTGCTATCTAATCACCTGCGACTCATAGCAACCCTATGTATAAAAGCTCTGAACTCTACCCTATCCTGAGCCAGTCTCACTGACTCCAACACTCTCAAGCCCACTGCCCCAGTTATCATGTCAACCCATTTCACCTGGGGTCTTCCTCTTCTGTTCTGTCCCTCCACCCTTCTAATATTGTGTCCCTCTCCAAGGACTGGTCCCTCTTGGCCCCATACCCAACATATGAAATGAAGCTTCAAACTCCGTTTCATCTAGAAACCTAGTATCACCTTAAGACAGACCTGTTTGTTCTCCTGGTTGTCCATGGTTTGTTTAAAAACCCTTCTCCTGCACTACAACTCAAAGGCACAATTCTTCTGTCAATCTTAGTATCCAACTCTCTAAGGCCTAGTATGTAATTATGAAAACAAGAGCCTGGATCAGGAGCACATCAGTCTCTAGTCTCCTTAGCACTCTGGAGTGGTCCCTGACAGCAGACTTCTCCAATGCAATTAATCTTTTGATTTCCTGATTGCTGGTGCCAACCAATACTCTGTTGATTGTGGAGCTAAGCAAGCTGAAATTGTTAACATCAATCTTTTCTCTTTTCTCCATTCATCATGGTGCTACTAATAGGCCCAGTGGTGAGAATCTTTGTTTTTCTTGATGTTGAGCTTCAATCCATATTGAAGACTTGAGTCCTTGACCTTTTGCAGCAAATGTGTCAAGTCTTCCTTAGGTTCAGCAGGCAAAGTTGTGTCATAGATCAGGTTGTTGAGTCTTGCTCCAATCCTGGTGCCACATTCTTCCTCATAAAGCCCAGCCTCTTGAATGGTATGTTCTGCATATAAATTGAAAAGATATTGAGACAGGACACATCCCTGACATCCCTTTCCTAATTTTGAAACTGCAGTGTTTTCTTGCTGTTTGACAACTGCTTCCTGGTCCAAATATAGGTTTCATATGATCACAATCAAATGTTCTGGGATTCCCATTCTTCTCAAGGTTAGACATAATTTGTTGTGATCTACACAGTCAAATGCCTTTGCATAGTCAATGAAACACAGACATTTCTACAGTATTCTCTGTTTTCAGCCAAGACCCATCTGACATTGGCAATGATGTCTCTAGTGCATGGCCTCTTATAAATCCAGCTTGTTTTTCTGGCAGTTCTCTGCTAATGTACTGTTTCAATAATTTTTTTTATAACCTCCAGCAAGATTTTGCGTGTGTGTGTGTGTGTGTGTGTGTGTGTGTGACATTAGTGATAAATAGAAAAGATATTGAAATTGTCAAGAATTTACTTTATTTGGATCTATAATCAATTCCAATCAAAGTTAATGGTTGAAATAAAATGATACATTGAATTGGGAAAATCTGAAAACCCATTTACTTTTTGCTGTAGAGTTAAAATAGACTCATAGTGTATTGTACACTGGGGTTTCAAAGCCTATAAATCACACAGAAAGAGATTACTCATCTTTCTCCCAAGGAGTAAGCTAATGGGTTCAAATGCTCAGAGAGAAACCAACTTTGAGTTAGTAGCACAGCTCTCTATGAACTATTCCATCTCTTTAAAGTGCTCAAAAACAAGATGTCATTTTTAAGATTCAAGTATTCATGATGCCAAAAAGAGGATTAGCAAAGACGTTTAGAAACAGTAAGTCCAAAAGACTAATGGACCATTCAGACTTCAACTTCCATGACCATGAGACCAAAAGAACTGGATGATACCTGCTTACCAATGCTGACCACTCTAAAAGAGATCACCATAAAAGATTCTTGATAGAGTGGGGGAAATCTGGAACAAAACCAGAATGGCTTGCTAGTCTGATAAAAACCGAGGGAGCTTTTAAGACTATGACTCCCGGACACCCTTCAAACCTGGAACAAAACACCCTCATGCCTCAACTTTCAGTCAAACCATAGGCCTTTTAGGTGAACTAATAGCAGGGAACTCACTCCTTAATAACTAATGACATTAGGTCAAAAGAATAGAGTAAAGCAAACATTTACTCAAAGATAAAGCCCAGAAGGCAGGAAGTAGTAGTATGGAATTTATCTTTCAATATGACTTCTCTTGTTGACGTTGAGCCTTAGTCCATACTGAAGGCTGCAGTCCTTGACCCTTCGCAGCAAGTGCATGAGGTCCTCCTCAGTTTCAGCAAGCAAGGTTGTGTCA